GAAGAAGAAGAAGAAGAAGAAGAAGAAGAAGAAGAAGAAGAAGAAGAAGAAGAGGAAGAGGAAGAGGAAGAGGAAGAGGAAGAGGAAGAGGAAGAGGAAGAAGAGGAAGAGGAAGAGGAAGAAGAGGAAGAGGAAGAGGAAGAAGAGGAAGAAGACTCACTGTGTCATCTGGAAGTCAGCTGTCCTATTAGCTGCCTCCATTCGAGCTCTTGCTTTTGCTTGATCTGCCTGGATACTCCTCTCATACATTTCCAAGTCAATCTTCATGTATTCCTTGTCCTGATCTTTCATAGCCTGTTCCTTCAACTGCTTCAGTTCCACTTGAGCCTCACGCTCCTTGAGAACCTCAGTGAGGGTCAGCGCACTCTGAAATTATATATTTGAAAATACTAATGAAAATGGAAAGTATAATTTTTTTTAAAAACATGTACGAGGGAATAATTTTCCCAATCAAAACGATTTATTTTTTAATACCTCTTTTACATGACTACTTCTCCACGTAGTCACCAGAACTGTTGAAGCATTTGTCGTAGTGTGGGATGCGCTTCTGAATGCCCTCATCGTGGAAAGCTGCCGCCTGCAATGTCAGCCAATGTGTAGTCTCTCCTGTGAGATCAGCGTCTGAGTCGATGTCCTGCCCGGCCAAAAACTTTTTCAAATGCAGGAACAGATAAAGTCACTCTGAGCCAAGTCTGGGCTGTACGATGCGTGCTTCAACTGTTCCCATCCGAAGGAGGCGATCAGGTTTTGGGTCTGTGCAGACTTGTGAGGAGTTGTATTGTTGTGAAGCAGAACAACGCAGTCGCTAAGCATCCCGCGTCTTTTGTTTTGAATCGCTCTACAGGCCGCGTCAGGAAAAAAAGTCAAGTGTACAGTGTTTTGGGACAGGCCAGGAGTTCTTTTAGTAGAATTTTGGGGAAGTGTGAAGACAATTAACTCTGACGTGTACTGCAACACACTTAAAAAACTGTGTAGAGCTATTCAAAACAAAAGACGCGGTATGCTTAGCGACGGCGTTGTTCTGCTTCACGACAATGCAAATCCTCACAAGTCTGCACAGACCCAAAACCTGATCGCCTCCTTCAGATGGGAACAGTTGAAGCACGCATCGTACAGCCCAGACCTGGCTCAGAGTGACTTTCATCTGTCCCTGCATTTGAAAAAGTTTTTGGCCGTGCAGGACTTCGACTCAGACGCTGATCTCACAGGAGAGACTGGACATTGGCTGACATTGCAGGCGCCAGCTTTCTACGATGTGGGCATTCAGAAGTACATCCCACGTTACGACAAATGCCTCAACAGTTCTGGTGACTACGTGGAGAAGTAGTCATGTATATGAGGTATTCAAAAATAAATTGTTTTGATTGGGAAAATTATTTCTTTTATAATTATTTTATAACGGTACTTACTTTCTCGACGTCCTTCGTATATTGTATTTGAAAAACAGATAGCATAACTACATTTAGCCTTGTGAATTTAATAAAAATATTGCTGTGTCCTTTCAAACTCAAGAACATATTAATAATAATAATAATAATAATAATAATAATAATAATAATAATAATAATAATAATAATAGGGCCTAATAAATAAATGATAGTCCCATTATGAAAAATGGTTCAGACATCCTTATAGAAATAAAACAACTAAAGTGGTACATAGTGATAACTTGATGGATGAATATATAGTGATATAAAGAAGATTAACTCTTATCCTGCGTCTGTGCCCAGATGCGTATCTTATCAGCAACCGATTACGTCGGACTCGCCGGGCAGGCCGCCGGGGTCACTCAGTGTGTATTGTTGGTGTACAGCGCGCGCGCCGGGAAACGTGTGTTTTCGCCATGAATACCGCGGGAGTGTGTTAACTGATGATGAAAATA